GGGAATGATGATATCTAGCTGCAAGGCCCTCAGGATGGTCTGAGTGGCTGGACAGTAGAAGATGAAGAGGGTATGACACAAGGGAAAACCCAATCAGCCCCATACTCCAGGAAGGTGTGGCTGCATTTCCACAGATGACAAAGGCACTTGGCAGCCCTTTAATGGGCTTCCCTGGGCAGTACAGAGACTCCTATTTGAACTCAGCATTCCAGTGGCACAGCCCCCCCCCCCCAGCTCTGGAGTCTGTGGACTAGACTAGCACACTCCAGTCAGTTGCCACCAAGTCCACCCCAACTGCCTACAGGTTCAACCATCCCCTGGCACTATGGGGTGCGCCCCATCAATTTTCCAGCCTACTCCAGATGGCCTGCCCCAGGTCGCAGGAGTCTCCAGTCAGAAAGTTTGCAGGTATGACTACACCCCTAGGCTAGACAGAAGTTCTAAAAACAAACAAACAAAACCCACAAAGAAGGCCCTAGCAAATTCCTGGCTTCAGGTGCAGCAGGCAAAGAGCTAGAGAGGGAAAACAGGACATCCAAGGGAGTGGCTACTGAGTCCGGCCCTGGGGTCAGCAATGAGGCTGGAGACAGGAATCAGATAGGGTCTCTTCCCTCAGTAAGCTCACCAACTGGTAAAGGAGGGGCAGGGAAGCAGCAATGATGACACAAAGTGGAGCTGGGCCCCAGAAGAAGGAAATGCAGGGGGGAAGTGGCCCGACCCATCCCTGGGGACTGGCAATGTTACCACCTGAGCAAAAGATTTTTAACAGCAAGAGCCCAAGAAATGCTTATTAACTGGATGTGAAAGGAAGCCACCTTTGCCACAAAGCGCCAGGAATGCCCTGGGCCCCATAAGGAGGTCAGCCGGGTTAAATTCCTGGGTAGAACTAGGCAGATAAGCTGAGCACTGCCAGGAAGATGTGCTCCTATTAGTCTGTCCCATGCTAGGTGACAAGGGAAAAGGTGACCTCATTTAATGATCCTTAACACAACTCCAAGTGGAAAAGAGAATAGCCCCCATTTTACAAAGGCAGAGAGCTTGGTCTTGGGCACAAGCCAAGCCTGGTCTAGAGTCCGCAGAGAGAGTGGGGGAACTCCCCTGAGCTACTGAATGAAGACCTGGCAGCTCCTCCTGGGTAAAAGCATGCTGTGCCCTTAACAAGGAAGGAGGCCCTTACACAAGTAGAGCTCGAGTCCTGGGCAGCCAGATTGCTATCTTGGGTTTGGGACTGGGTGCCAGACTCCTGATCACCTCTGGTACCAGCAGCCTAGAGAGCTTGGACTCTGGTGGAAATCCCCCCTCTCTCCCCCTGGGGGGAGGGAAAACTAGCCTACCCTAGGGCTCCAGAAAAAGTTCAGGGAATCATCAGGAGTTCCTTGCCTACTCTTCCCAGTCCCCAAGCTGGGCAAGAGACTCTTAAGAGGAATCTGAAAGAAAGGGCAAGCTTAGGAGTTATTCAGCGGGAAGGGTTGAGGG